TACCTCGTTAAATAACGCAGGATCACTCTTTTCTTGTTAGTATTATGCGCTGTGAGACCCCTTTCTTAAGACCTCCTCTCTGGCTGGAGAAGAACGCTAGCTTGAGAAATGTGGTGGGATAATAGAAGGGGTACATAAAGAACACTAGAAGAAAAATATGACAGGGAGGAATAGAATAAAGAGTGATAATGAATAAACAGAAGGGGTAAAGAAACGAGTCTTTCGTTGGCTTCCTCCCACATCCTCTTTCCCCTTGGCCTCCGGCTGAGAGTTTTTGTAAGTCTGTACAGTTACTCACTTTCTCTTCCATTAATGGCACGGAACTCTCTCGGGACTTTCTCTGGGTAGCTGAAACGTTTTCCGGTTATTTAACATGACGATGTAAAGACGAAGATGTAAGAACCTTGTGAGATGGATGCTTAGTAACTTTAATAAATGATTCCATTGGATTTTTACTTGTTACAGTCACACACAATATTTCCGAAACTCTGTTGAGTACGCATCAACACAAATATGTAATAGGTGAGTGCCACCACCATCACACACACACAACTACACTGAGTACAACACAGTACCACACACACACACAACACACACACACACACACACACACACACACACACACACACACACACACACAAACACACACACACACACCAACACACACACACACACACACACACCACACACACACACACACAGTAGCAATCAGCGAAGAGGCGGGGCCAGGAGCTATGACTCGACCCCTGCAACCACAAATAGGTGAGAACAAATAGGTGAGTACACACACACACACACACACACACACACACACACACACACACACACACACACACACACACGCACACACGCACACGCACACACACACACACACACACACACACACACACACACACACACACACACACACACACACACACACACACACACACACACACACACACACACGCACGCACTGTTAAGAGGTGGGGTCACGAGCTGTAGCTCAACCCCTAAAAACACATTTAAGTGTGTACACAAACTTGGCTCGTGAACCGCATGTACTAGACTTCTATAGAGAATTATTTTTTTATTTGTTTAAATTATTAATGCGAAAAGGTTAATAATCCAAGATAATTCAAACAGTCCTTTCTTTCACTGTAACCCACACCAGCTGACTAACTTCCAAGTATCTATTTACTGCTAGGTGATTAGGGGCCTTAGGTGTTAGGAGACTTGCCTACGCGTCTCACTTCTCCCACAATTGAACCCAAAATCTTTAGGTTACGAGCTGAAGGTCTTACTGCTGAATATTGGGCAACTCAAACTATACTGAAATATTTACTGAAATCCCACTTTTCCCCTCCATTGAAGAGTAACACACAGTTTACTCACTGGGAAAGGGGATAATATAAGATTTTCTTCTGATTTTTAACTACCAGTATAACCAAGGACTGTTTGTCTTATTTCCATTGGATGTCCTTTAATCTTGCCACCCAGGATGCAACCTACAACAGGAAAAATGCCCAACGTTTCTGCCCATGCCGGGGATTGAACCACGAACACTCAGTATGTGGACTGAATGCGCTACCAACCAATCCAGGGACAAAAGGTTAAATCAATTAAAACGAGATAACGGGGCCACGGATATCGGTATGCAGTTGACAGCCTTCTGCAAGGTGACCTGCGCCAGGGATGACCTACTTTCTCTATTGCGGAGGCCGCAGCTGCGGTTTCAGGAGAAGCAGCGTCCAGAACTTCTCCCCGGATGTGAGACATTCTTGCCAGCATACTGGCAGTGATGTGCGTGGTCCAGGGATCTTACAGGACAATACTCTCCTTGTTCAACACTCAGATTAATCTTTTTTAAAGATTTACATTTATGATTCGCGTTACAGTTTCACGTTAAGTGGAATTACGCTGCTTGAAATATGAAGCTCGTGGTCAGGTTAGGTGAGGTTTGTCAGGAAAGAGGACAAGTGTTTCCTGAAACAGGTGTTCGTGGCACAGTTGACAGTGTCTTTAGTCCACAGTGAGGGACCCGGATCGATCCCCGGCTGGGGAGAAAAGTTGAGCGTGTTCCCTTACACCTGCTGCCCTTGCTCACATAATAGTAAGCAGGATCTAGGGTGAAAGTCTTCTGTTGTGGGTCGCATCCTGGGAAAGGAAGATTAAAGGACCAATGGAAATCAAACAGACAGTCCCTGATGACGCACTGCATTAGGTTATCCTGCGTTGCTAACTCTTCGATTAATAATCCCAACAAAATCATTAATTACCAAGACTCCCTCGAGACAATGTCCTCGTGATAACACATCTGATTACTAGCCAAACCTAACATGACCTACACTATACTGTAATTACTGTTGCGAATCAGTCAGTCTACTCCGTTTTACGTTCCTGTTTTAAAATAATTGATCCTTTACTCAAGGATCCCATTGGAAATATATCACTTTTTTTGTCTGACTTTTTGGGTTATCCTAGATTCTTTGTACATATGCTGCTATGTATAATAATCTATGTAACTGTATTTCTATATACCCGAATAAACTTACTTTTTCTGACTTTTTTCGGGGTTATCTTAGGTAATTTATACATATATTACTAAGTGTGATAATTGTATTTTTTATATGGACCGATGGGACTTGTGGATGACACGCGGCCTGCTAGGCAACACTCTCGCTTCATATGCTGTGTTTGTGGTTTGATCCCCCGGAACTGGTAGAAACATGGACCTGTTTCCTTACACCTGTTGTCCCGTTCACCTAGCAAGCAAGTAGGTACCTGGGTGTTGGTGGACTGGTGTGAGTCGCATCCTGGGGGGCAAGTTTGAGGACCACAATGGAAATAAGACAGACAGTCCCCTCAATGGCACACTGCCTTTCTTGGGTTATCCTGGGTGGATACCTTTCCGAGGTTAAAAATCCGAAAAAAAAAAATTATTAAATCTTCATTTGTCGCCCAAATATGGTTCAACTTTTTATGTATAGTATATAGACTTTTTATGTATATCTGTTAATGTTTAACGATTTAAATCACAGTATAAGTCAGTTAATCACCAGTAAAATACACTGTAGTTCACCAACCCAAAGATTTATTATAATTTAGCCTTACCTAAAAGAATTGGTCCAGGTCGTTTTCTTTGACATTTCGCAAGTAAACCATAGAAAATTGTTCAATGAAAAAATTACAGGGCAATCTGTATATATAATACGGTAAAATAAGTAAGTAAGTAATTAAGTTTATTCAGGTATACACAAATTTATATATATATATATACATATATATATATATATATATATTATATATATATTATATATCGAGTATAATTAAATTTATATATATAATATATAACTATTATATAAAAAGTATATATTCGAATTACTATGTTATATTTAGTATATAAATTAAATTTTTATGAGTTTTATCATATATTGGTAATGATTTTATATGATATAAATGTTATAATCCGTATAAATGTAATATATATACCGACATATATATGAGAGGTATATATAGACATTATCATCATTATATGTGACTTTATATTATTTATTATTATTTTATTATAGGTCATCAGTGCTATTAATAATCTGTAGAAATAGAATTATAGATATATATTAGTAGTTATATTTTCACACTCCGTGTGGAAGGACACGTCAGCCATACTGGGGGGAGTTTGGTCAGATTACCTTTTTTTTTTTGTTTTGCTTCAGTGAATCTGGCAGAGAAATGGACGTCCACACCGAGAGATGACTGATATAGGTACAATTTCAACATCAATAATAACAATCTTCTACACGTACATGTTACAGCTTATTTAATGTTTCCATCCGTACCGGGGATCGAACCACGGGTCTCAGTGTGTGAGCTGAGTGCGCTAGCAACCGAACTACGGGACACCTTAATAGAAAACAGATACCTGGGAGCTAGTTAACTATTGTGGGTCGCATCCTGTGGGAGGACCTATAATTTACGTCAGCCTATTTTATGGGGGGATTTAAAATGGTTATAAGAGCATAAACCTTTTTTTTTTTTACCATTCTCCATTTCCTCCTCTGAACTCTTTCTCTAGGTGAGTGCACATAGGAAGCGCAGACGGAGAATCGAGCCTCCACCACGTCTTACGCTGAATGACCCACATCGACGTACTACTGAACATGATTTTTTCTTCCTCCCAAGCATGTATTCGCGCTTCTCACTGTGTGGGAAGCGCATATGTGACAAATGTGACCTTATGATGTTCCTCTGTCCCTCGACTGGGGGACGGAGTATCGAGTTCCACCACTTCCACACGGCCTTCGTAGTTCATATAATTAAACAACAAATTGTTACAAATACCATGACTGGAACAACACAAATAATCCGCACAGAGGACAAGCTGAAGAAGACGTTTCGGACCGACTTGTACCATTGATTAGTCAGTGGTCCAAGTCAGACCGGAACCTCGTCATAGCTATCTTTCTCTTATGTGCGGGTTATCTGTGCATATAATTAATCTTAATTAATGTTCCTCGAGGTTCTGAACCTTGGAGTTGAACAGAGCGTCGTGTTTCATCTTCGCTATGGTTCTCTTTGTGGGAAAGTTTGGGCCAGGGGTTCTTTCCCTACAACTTCATGAGCCCAGTAACTGAATCCGCATCACGCTAAAATTCCCATTAGGGCGAATTTTTCTGTAAGTCCTGTAGAAACAAGACCTGCCTCTCATTCTTCCACTACACTGAGTGTGAAATTTGAAAGTTAAAAAGTAGGGACTAACCAGTGTTTATATTGCGTAAGTAACATAATCAAGATAAAATGATGAGAATATAATCGCATATAGAGGAAAATGTGAAAACAATAAATCCCCTTCAGGAGATTATGTTGGTTCTGTATATATGTTTGGTACAAGTTTCTGAATATAATAATAAAAATAATAATTTCTCACCTCAATCGTCTCTGTAAAACTGATTCTGGGATTAATTTTGTTCTCTAACCACAAATAGTCATCATTATTAACGGACATCTCTGTCTCTCCGCAGAGGAGACTGCTGGCGCTAGTAAGCGCCCTAGTGTTCATGGGCGTGTGCGCGTCGGCCTCAGAACCGGGCGCAAGCCCCTGGCAGGCCCTCAACCCCGCACTAACTGACACAAACCCCTACAAAGAAACAGAAGCCGATACAACACAGGAGACCTTCGAGCCAACCCACCTCGAGGCCAACGCCACCAGCGAACTGACTCCCGAAGAAGAGTTCCTAGTGTCCAATATACCCATTAACCTGCCCTTCAAGATGGAAAAGAAGCAATTGGCTGTAGCCATGAAGCTTCTGAAGGAGGCGGTGAAGCCCATTATCAAGAACAAGGCGCTTCATCAGACTGTGGCTTACATAGACAGTCTGCTGGGAGCGTACAGAGAAGACCTTGAGTTACAGATGTACATGACGCTCCTCCTTGACTCCTTCCAGGATATGTTCGAGGGCAAGGAAGCAGTCCAGTTCCACAAGGTGCTGAGAGGCTTCTTCACCGAGATCAGTGACGAGGTTAGTGGTTTTTAGATTTAGGATATAATAGATGGTGAACAAATAGAATATATATAGATGGGTTGGTAGGTAAGACACGTGGGCAACATATTTCACTCATATATAGATGGGATTAAGCTAGTGAAGTGGTGCTGGACGAGTGAATATATAATTATAATCACGGGAAGATTCTTTACAATATATAAGGCTGGGCATTTTATTCTAAATTGTTCGTTTAACAATATATTTAAATTTAGTGGAGAATTGGAAATTCCTAAAATTGGTTTGGAAAAAATATATAAATGGAAACTGTGAGCCGTAGAGGTTATACAGCGCTTGGGAATAATAGGCAATCAGCTTCGAAAGCTCCTATTCATTGGATCATAAGCTTTTTTACCTTGAGATGAAGAGCTTATGATCTAAGGGTAGGTTCCTTGAAGTCCATAAACTCAAGATAAGTCGTAATAAACGACTGTCAGGAAGTAAACAGGAGAATGGACTGGGACTCGAACCTTGGTCCTGACACGTAGCAGCTCCAGCGCTGAGCTAAGAGACTTTCAACAGGAAGATTTCAGATGTTTCGAAAAAGTTGAGTCGGTGCTCTGAGAACATATACTGGGTGGAAATGCTTAATCGGGTTGGAGCTTTTGTGATCAAGATGTGACTGCCATCATTCCTACCTCTCGTACAGGAATACCCCCCGACCCGCCATCCCCCCACACACACGCACCAAATTCACTAAGTAACTCCTCACACACAGGCAACAGCTCGGACTATCGACGACATGTGGAGGTCGACGATGGACCTCGTCTCCGATCCTTTCAGAGATTACTTCGTGCGTCCCGTCAACAACTACCTCGTAGCACCCATCAGCAACGCCGTCAGTGGCTTTGCTGATCGCATCGGCAGGTGGATGGGCAGCCGCAAACATTACGTGAACGTCAAGTACCCTGAGTCTTACTCCAGGTGAGAGGAATGCGTCTTGACCCAAAAAAAATAAACAGTTGATTACCTATTTACATTTGTGGACAGGAGAACCATCCTCGTGGTTTTCCGTCTACATTATCAGAATTTGTCCTCTGCTAAGAATGACAACCACAAGAGCAGTAAATAGGTACCAAGGTACCTATTCACTACTTGGTTAACGGGGGCATCAGGTTACCTGGAGGTTAAGGTGGACTGCTCAGTTGTCTCACCCGACACTGTATTGGAGCCAAGTGCTCGCTGAGCGTCCAGTTGTTTACTAATTTTTACTTAATACATGTCATAGTACTTGTATTAGTGCATTAATCTCCTTAGAATGACTAATTCACAAATTCGTAGGAAAAGAAGTACGAAATTTGTGGTGTTGTTTCTCCATCTGAATTATATTTTTTACATTAAATCATAATAACTATCTAAATAATAACCTACTGGTATCTATTTTCAGAGTTAAAGAATTAAGAAAGGGGTTCCTATAATTTTTACGGTGAAAACGCAAGTTCAGGAAAAACATTTACTGTGACAACGTTTCGCTCTGTGTAGAGCTTTACCAAGTTAGTCTACAAAGCTAAACGTTGTCCCAGTAACACCTTATTCTTCATCTCGTGTCTTGAGAATTATAGTCATTTTCCTTAATTTTTAATTCAAAAATGGATGTCAACGTGATATTATTGAGATGTTTATTATTATATAGAGTAATAATTATATTTCATTATTTTGTAAATAAATTACTCTTACAGACGTTTTAAATAAGAATCGTGAGAGATGGTGCCACATTCGCCATGATAAATAATATATTGTGTTTATACTCCATGGCAGTGTGCCTTTTCACCCATCCCATAATTTCGTTGGTTAAATTAGGTAGCCTATATTGCTTTTCACGAAGAGTTAGGAGCAGTGGCGGCTCTACTTTCCTTTCGTGAACTTCGAGACACGAACGCTACCTAACTGTGCATCGCTTGCAGGTGGAGTGAAGCGATGAGCACCTACGCCAACCGGTTGTCTGACTGGACCAGCCAGGCTCGACAGGGAATTGAATTGGCTGCCAGGATGCTGGAAGCACAGGACCAGGCCCGCGGCTGTGCTGCTGCACCCTGTGACTTCAGCGCCGCCTCCTCTTCCGAACCAGAAGTTTACGAGGTAAGACCGTATACTGAGGTGCGCCAAAGCATTTAGGCACCTAAAGTGCCGTGTAGAGAACAGGAATACAGTACAGGTGAAACTGAATCTAAAGATTCACGTTAAAAAACGAGTAGAAACCATGGACACTGTATACAGTAAGTAGGGACACTATGAACACTAAAGTAGGAACCGTAGATAATGTTTAGAGAGCAATAAGGCCAATGAACATTGCTTAGAGATAAACTAGAAACCATGACCACTTATTAAAGAGAAACGACAGACTACTGACAGTTTTAGGAAAGAACGACAGGACCTGTTTAGAGAGAAAGAACCTAGTCGGAACTAATACGTCGTCGTAAGTGTATACTTTATGAAGGATATTTGTGTACAGTACCACCAGGTACTGTACCTTGGTGGGTCACCCTATCTTGGGTGGTCACCCTACCTTAGTGGGCCACCTTACCTTGGTGGGGTCATCTTATTATGGTGGTTGACCATGCTTCAATGAATCAACCGGCTTTGGTGGGTCATCCTCCTTTCATAAGAAGCAACCAGAATACAACATAGAGAAAGAGAGATAGAGAGGAATGCTATATTAAATAGAGAGCATATTTCATAAGGTTAAACTTATATATAAGCGTTATTAGAGCCTTTGGTCGGTTAGTTAATTGGATTTAAAGTCTATCGACTATACTGAAGGTCATTAAGGCTACGTTTAACCTGCACACTAACAGTCGAGAATACATTAATCCCTAAAACAGGAATTAACGCAAACTCTCAGCGTATATAGACAGAGAAAAACACCTCCCTTTGTATGTAGTCTGTTAGTACCACTGGTGTTAATAGTTTTAGTCAGGAAACGTAGTGTATCTTAACACAGGTCACATTCAGATGACGACCCATTCTGTGGTTAAACACCAGCTAGGTTTTATAATCTCATTTATAAACAAATACACTACATAGTGAATCTTTAGATGATACCTATGAGGGTATCCCAAAGACAATTAACCAAAAACTCTCGTTTAGGACAGGAACGTTAGAATGACGTTTCTGTCGGTCCCGGAACGTTGTCATCCTGACGTTCCTCTTATGTGAGAGTTTTCTAGGAATTGTCCCAACCACTGTACTGTGACTTTTTATTCTTCATTCCAAAGGTAATATTTTCTGCTCCTCTAGGTGACGTTTCCAATTTACATTATCCCAATAAACAGCAGATTTAAAGTTGTGTAAAATAACTGCATCCCTAAATAAACACAATAAATTTATGTTAAATAAAAAATTATTTTCTTTAAATTTGTTAATATTTTTAAATGATAAATAAAGCATGAAATTAATTTTTCTTAAATTTCAGTCTCTGTCACCTTGACTATTTTAATTAGACATTCACGGGACCATTAATTAAAGACTAGTATTACATATAAATGTTATTATCTTCAACTTCAGACTTCCTATCTCTTTAGTCGTCTCTACCTTCCTGCCATTTGTGCTACACCAGTTTATGTTACACTTGCAGTGTTGCTACACCAGTCTATATTAAACCTGAGGTGTTGCTACACCAGTCTGTGTGTTAACCTTGAAGTTAATCAAAATATAACAGTTGCGACAACTTAGGAATGCTGGTCTTTATCATGTTATAAATGATAAACAATACCGACAAGTTGCTGGGTACGTAATATGCGAAGCACTTGGGTATCTTAATTACCAAGACGTTCCGTCTGCGCACCAGGCTTCCTTAATTGAAAATATAAGCGACTATAGTAGCGGAGACGTTAGACGATGTGGAAAGGTAAGTTTGAGATCATCAGTCCTTCAGCCTTCATAGAAGTAGGTCAGTCCCTTTTGCCTAAAGCAGAGGCTGACAACTGTTCATCATGTTCTACTTCCACTAGTGGGCCCCGCTCACCTGTGATATCATCTCTAACTGCTATGCTTCACTTCTAGTTCCAATGTATGTCTCTGGTCTTATGTCTCTGTTTAAGGGTAAAGGAATGTGAGCACCTTTAATCAAGGCTGAAAGATAACTGCCTCAAAATAACCTCTTCACGTTTTCTACTATCTCCAGTAATGTAATCGTCGTTATTCCACTGAAGAAGTTCTCTGCGCAGGCGGAACGTTTCGAAAATAATGATGTCTAAGTGTTGCCCATGTGTCTCACTCATTTAAGGATTTATCGCCAAATTAAAGATATTTAAACACTTTTTCAGTGGGAGTTCATATGGCAGTAATGTAGACGTCTCTCTGCTCCCTTAATTAACACTAAATACCTGTCTTAAACTCCAACAATGTTTTTTTCTTTTAAATTGAGTGAATAAACAATACCTATTAACTAGATACTGTAGCATGGCCCTCAAGGACCACTGTGTGTGTGTGTGGTGACTGTCACATCCTTGAGCATGGCCCTCAAGGACCACTGTGTGTGTGTGTGGTGACTGTCACATCCTTGAGCATGGCCCTCAAGGACCACTGTGTGTGTGTGTGGTGACTGTCACATCCTTCAGCATGGCCCTCGAGGACCACTGTGTGTGTGTGTGTGGTGACTGTCACATCCTTCAGCATGGCCCTCGAGGACCACTGTGTGTGTGTGGTGGCTGTCACATCCTTGAGCATGGCCCTCGAGGACCACTGTGTGTGTGTGGTGACTGTCACATCCTTCAGCATGGCCCTCGAGGACCACTGTGTGTGTGTGGTGACTGTCACATCCTTGAGCATGGCCCTCAAGGACCACTGTGGGTGTGTGGTGACTGTCACATCTTCCTTCTTCTGTGACTGTCCTTACCATCTCCTACATGACTTCAACACCACGCTACTCTACCATCACCAACACGACAGCAACACCACACAACACAACCATCACCAACACGACAGCAAAACCACACAAACACAAACCATCACCAACACGACAGCAACCCACAACACAACCATCACCAACACGACAGCAACACCACACAACACAACCATCACCAACACGACAGCAACACCACACAACACAACCATCACCAACACGACAGCAACACCACACAACACAACCATCACCAACACGACAGCAACACCACACAACACAACCATCACCAACACGACAGCAACACCACACAACACAACCATCACCAACACGACAGCAACACCACACAACACAACCATCACCAACACGACAGCAACACCACACAACACAACCATCACCACACGACAGCAACACCACACAACACAACCATCACCAACACGACAGCACACCACACAACAACCATCACCACACGACAGCAACACCACACAACACAACATCACCAACACGACAGCAACACACACAACACAACCATCACCAACACGACAGCAACACCACACAACACAACCATCACCAACACGACAGCAACACCTCAACACACCAACACTTCAGTGTTGCTGTTCTTTACAACTTTCCACCTCCTTCACATCTTCCTTTATCTGTCAATCATTCCTCTTTTATTCTGTCTACTCTGTCTACATGTCAAAATATTTTAATCACCCATTAATGAGTCTAAATTTACCACAGTTTATACAGCATATAATGTTTATTGAAGCTCTTATATTAAAACCATATTATGGCAGGTATCCGAAATGTTGTGGATTGCCGGACTGGCTGGATTAGCCGGACTGGCTGGATTAGCCGGACTTGCAGGACTTGGATTCCTTTCTCCTCTCGCCGTTGTTGTAGCTGGAGGAGGTGGAGGAGGAGGAGGAGGAGGAGGAGGTGGTGGTGGTGGTGGTGGTGGAGGAGGAGGAGGAGGCGGTGGTGGTGGAGGTGGAGCTGGTGCTGGAGGATTTGGAGCCGGTTTTGGAGGTGGAGGAGGAGGAGGAGGAGGATTCGGGGATGGTGTAATTGTGGGTCCACCCATAATTGTACCAATCGGTGGAGGTGGTGGAGGTGGATTTGGACCCGGTGGAGGTGGAGGTGGATTCGGACCCGGTGGAGGTGGAGGTGGATTCGGACCCGGTGGAGGTGGAGGTGGATTCGGACCCGGTGGAGGTGGAGGTGGATTCGGACCCGGTGGAGGTAGGTGGAGGTGGATTCGGACCCGGTGGAGGTGGAGGTGGAGGTGGATTCGGACCCGGTGGAGGTGGAGGTGGAGGTGGATTCGGACCCGGTGGAGGTGGATTCGGACCCGGTGGAGGTGGAGGTGGATTCGGACCCGGTGGAGGTGGAGGTGGATTCGGACCCGGTGGAGGTGGAGGTGGAGGTGGATTCGGACCCGGTGGAGGTGGAGGTGGAGGTGGATTCGGACCCGGTGGAGGTGGAGGTGGATTCGGACCCGGTGGAGGTGGAGGTGGATTCGGACCCGGTGGAGGTGGATTTGGAGGCGGTGGTGGTGGAGGTGGATTTGGACCCGGTGGAGGTGGAATTGGAGGCGGTGGTGGTGGAGGTGGATTTGGAGGTGGGGCTGGTGGAGGTGGAATTGGAGGCGGCGGTGGTGGATTTGGAGGTGGGGCTGGTAGAGGTGGAATTGGAGGCGGTGGTGGTGGAGGTGGAGTCGGAGGCGGGGCTGGTGGAGGTGGAATTGGAGGCGGCGGTGGTGGATTTGGAGGCGGGGTTGCTGGTGGAGGATTTGGAGGCGGAGCTGGTGGACCCTTTGGGTTTGTCGGTGGTAGTGGTCCGTTTGGGACCGCCGGTGGAACTGGAGGTGGTGTCTTTGGAGGTGCTGGTGGAGTTGGATTAGCAGCTGACGGTGTTAACGGGTACGATGGAGAATTGTACGGAGCAGCATCACTGAAGGATATCACGGCATCCTTCGAACAAGAAGATCTTCTTAGCTTCGAACAGCCTTTCTCAAACCATCACCAGTTTTCCCACGACCATTCCAGTTTGACGGAAAGGTGCGTTACGCATTTTCCTTCCTCCCTTCCTCACCTGCTTTCCCCCAAACCTCTGCTTCCATCCCAGTTATACATCACTCCCTCACCTTCCCTCTCCCTTCCTTCCAAAAACTACGCTCCCATCCCACCTTAACCAAGTCTTCGTTCTCCGCTTCATACCATCTTTCTTCCTCTCC